TGACGAATTTCTCCAATATTTCACCTGTAACTTCTACCACATTATTGCAGTCTCTGAAACATGGCATAAGCCCTATATCCCTTCCTCTTCCGTTTCCTTACCTGATTATACCTTCATCCGTCATGAACGGGTTCCCCGGACTGGCGGAGGTGTTTGTCTCTATATACATAATAGCCTGAAACCCCGTATTCTAGATATTTCATCCTCTTCCAATCATCCTCACATTGAATTCCTCTTCGCTGAAATTTCTTGTAAAGCACATCCTCTCCTTTATGTGGTCATATATCGCCCTCCTTTGACTCCTTTTGACTCATCCTTCGAATCAACATTGTACAATTATGTCCCTTTCTATAATAACATTATAATTTCCGGTGATCTTAATACCAACCTCCTCACAGAATCCAACAACAAACGCTATTTGGAAAATCTCTTCTTCTCCCTCAACCTTTTTATTGTTCCTTTCGCTCCTACACAGCATACTTGTTGGTCTGACACCTGGCTGGACTTGCACATCATCGATTCAGAGCAGAAACTCTTGTCCTGTTCTCAATTACCCGTTCCTTTCCTTTCTTCTCATGATCTCATCCAATTATCGTACGATATCCAAACTCCCACGTTTCTTCCTAAAACCATAACTTTCCGCAATCTTGACAACCTCACCCGTGATAAAACCCTACCGGACCTTGAAACCCTAAACTGGAACGATATTTATTCCTGTACCTCTATTGATCATATGGTAGACATCCTCACTTCTAATCTTATCCATATTCTTGACATACATGCTCCTATCAAAACCTCAACCTTCCGTCGCCAACCTGCTCCTTGGATGTGTCAAGAAATCCGCGACATGCAAAAGAGACGTGAGGCAGCCCCTAGACGCTTCATTTAGCATTACAAACTGGATGATTTTGCCAGATTTATATAGTAGTGACCATTTTCCAATACTCATAAAATTCAAAATAACGAATCCCACTCGAGTAAACTGAGATTTGTCCTAAATAGAGCTGACTGAACTTTATTCTCTTCATTAGCCTCACCACCTCAAGAAGAGATGATAAACGTTTACATACCAGCTATTGCCCTATATTTCTCACAAGCTGCTGAAGTAAATTAATGGAGTGGATGATTAATAAAAGACTAATGTGGATAACAGAGAACAACAATTTAATTCAACCTTTTCAATTGGGATTCCGTAAGGGTCAATGCACATTAGATCATTTAGTTGAATTAGACTTTTATCAACGCACAACTAACAATAGCCATATTTATCGATGTGAAAAAAGCTTTTGATAATATAAATCACTCCATAATCCTCAATAAATTATCATCCATTGGAATTAGAGGCCAAACGTACAACTATATTAGGCAATTTCTCATGCACCAACACTTTAGAGTTTAAATAAGAATTATCCGAGCACCACGAACAGTTCAACGGTGTCCCTCAAGGTTGTGTCCTCAGCCCAACTCTGTTCTGTCTGGCGATAAATGACTTAGACCTTAACTTACCAAGAGGTGTCAAACCATTTCTATTTGCAGAGGATCTAGCCATTCTCTGCCAATCTGACAACATTAACACTATAAGAAACAAACCACAGGACGCTGCCAATAGAATCAACAACTGGTCTCTTTCTATTGGTCTCCAATTTTCTTCCGCAAAAATTAAGTGCTTACATTTCAGTCGAAAAAGAAACACCCCTATCTCACCCGAAATCTACCTTGGAAATTCTGGATAAACCTGAACTCGAACCAAAATAGATTCTTGGGCATGATCTTTGACCGAAAACTAACTTGGAAACCGCATATTTCTGCACTAAAAACAGCCACTACATAAAGAATAACTATCTTACGATATCTAAGCGGCACTTCCTGGGACTCAGACAGACTTATGTTAATAAAACTGTATCAAGCTCTGGTATGTTCGAAATTAGACTATGGGTGCTTTATATATGGTTCTACCCGCTATCGGATCCTAAACAAACTCGATACAGTCCACCATACAGGCATTAGGATAGCAACTGGCGTATTTCGAAAAAGCCCCATCCTTAGTCTCTGCTCTGAGGCCGGAATACCCCCTTTTTTATTTAGAAGGAAAAAACTGGCCGTTAACTACATTTCATGGCTACTTCCCCAAAATAAACATCCTACCCACGACTACATTTTTAAACCTAAATTTTCAAACGCTTTTAGAAATAAAACAAATTCTACACTCTCACTGTCAGGAAGAATTTATTCATCCATATATCCAAAACCGACCTTGGATCCACAAACCCCCAAAAATTATGCTCTGTCTCTCTCGATTACTCAAAAGCAATACCTCACCTTACGAGTACAAAACCAAATTTTCCCGTCTACTACAAAATATTCCAGAACCATTTTTAATTTACACTGATGGTTCGAAATCAGATGATGCTACAGCTTCTACGTTTGTTACCCATAAATCCACACATAAAATAAAACTACATAAACTAAGCAGCATATACGTCAACTTCACGCAATAGCTTCAGCCCTCCACTTCTGTATGTCAATAACTCTAGCTTCCATAGTCTTGATAATCGACTCCTTGAGTTCATTAAAGGGTTTAAATGATATGTACTCAAAACATCCAGTTATCCTTAAAATACACAAATACCTTCACACTCTTGAAAAGTTGGGAAAATCGGTTTGCTTTATATGGGTCCCCAGTCACGTGGGTATAGTTGGTAATGAGCTTGCACATACGGCAGGCAAACACTCTAGAGGTACTCCTATCCTGACCCCTCCAGTAATGAGTTTTCCTCTCAAAAAGGAAATATTGGATAGTTGGCATATTATGTGGAATGAAATCCCACCTAGAAAATTAAAAAATGCTAAAAAATCAGTAAAGCCCTGGACCACATCAAACCACCCTAATGGTAGAGAGGAGGTCGCCGTGACTAGGTTAAGAATAGGACACACAAACCTAACTCATGTACATCTCAACACTAAGCAGCCACCACCAAATTGTCAACACTGCAACATTGCCCTATCATAATCAATCATATTTTCCAAGAATGCACTTGTTATACTTCAAGCCTAAATCGATCATCTCTAAAACCAAATACATCAGCAGTATTAAGCAACAACGAATCAAACATAAAAACAGAGATAAATTTTCTTAAAATCCATAGGCTATTAAATAAAATATAAAAATAAATATAAAGACGTTGGCTTTTAATAAAATAGTTTTACCACTATTTAGCCTATTTATGACCACCACCCCGGACTGTCTCCTTCCTTCAAAAATAAATATATTTTTTTATTTTATTGTGCTTTCTTTTTTTATATATTTATTTTAATATATTTCATTTTTAATATGTTTTTAAATATCTTTTTAATTTATTATTCTATCCATCTATAATTAATTTTTTTTTTATTTCTCCTCTAAAGAGTTTACAAATATAACTGACTCACAGGCGTTGATGACCCCAGAGTTTTACGCCTTAAAGCCTAAAAAAATAAACGAACTATGGATGGCCACCAAAAAGCTTCTGAACTTTAAAGACTTTAATCACCCACTTTTAACTGAATTACAAAAGTGGTCCAAATCTGAGAAAGAAAAATCCCAAATATTCGGTCAATACTTCTTTCAAACTTTTGATCCAAATCCTGATATTCATCATTCAACTCAAATTGAATGTGTATCAAAGAAGAATTGGATATTCCCCTCCAAATGTCTCTATCACCTAAAGCATTTTATCCCACAGAAATATCAAACATTCTACCCACAAAGCTTCTACGCACAACCTAATTACATCCCAAATCTTAGAACTTCTGCCTCGAAAAGCCATTCTATTCCTTACTTACACATACAGAGTGTCCTGTAAGTAGAGAGAAATATTTAGTAAGGTGATAGTAGACTTCAAGAACATCCTTGCAATATGGGAAGAAGAAAGGATGCCACAAATTTGGAGACAAGGAATTATTTTCTGGTTTTTTCGAAGTTGGACCACATAGATTTGAGAGGGTGCAAAGTTTCGTAAATCTGGGCTGAGAAATAAACACTCAAAATGACATATCCCAGATCAACCGAAGAACTGGCGCAGCCAATCGAAGCTATTTTGGGCTAGCAAAATACTTCAAAAACAGACACCTCTCCAACAAGACCAAGACCGGCCTATATAAGACCCTGATTCGTCCGGTACTTTTTTGAGAGTTTGTCATAGATAAAACAATTCAAAGAGGACTTTTGAGTGGCAAAACTAAGCTAAGTTCTGTTTTTAGAAAAATCATGAATTATATGCGACCTTTTTGTATCACTTTTCAACTGTGACTTTCTGTCTAACAGTATCTGCAATAATACCCCACTTATTTCAGTTAAACTAATCTGATACCTAGGATTCCACCTGGACAAACATCTAACTTAGAATCATCATACCACACTGAAACAACAAGAAACTACTCGATGTTTACGGCTACTTCAGCATTTACTACACAAACACTAAGCTTCCAATCAATTACAAAAGACTCATATATAGGACTATTATAAGGCCTATTTAGACTTACAGAGTTGAGCTTTGGGGTTCCACTAAAACATCCAAATCCTCTTACATCCAATTCCTAGCAATCCAAAATCCTCAACGCTCCTTAATTTTTCACAAATGAAATCATCCACAATGACCTTAATGTATCATATGTTTCCAATTTGGCCCAATCCTGATACCTATCCTTCCATAATCAACTTTAGAACCATTTGAACCCTCTCGTTTCTAACCTGGCTTCCTCTTCAATCCCTGATAACCCTGAAGGGTCTGAAAAAAAGATGGTCTCGTGATCTCCTTATTTAAAAAAAATATCAGAATACCAATGGGTAGATTCTCTACAAGTATTTTCATGTCATTATATTTCTCTGAGTCATATTTACTAGATGTATTTTTATTTTAATGCAGTTGTAAACATACTTATAATATACCAGATAATATATTTATATTCATTTAATTATAATTATTGTTATTTGATACAGTCAGAAAAATATTATCACTTACAAGAATAATCATAAATCTGAGGCTTGTAAAGTTTGTTATCATCTGCAATGAATGGTCCTTGTGGGAAAAGAGCAGATACTTTTAAGACTTCCTAGAACATAATCATTTAATATTTATTTTTAATTTATTTGAGTTAAAAATAATAACTTAAAAAACATATATCAATACAATTATTTATTTAGCAATAAAATATAAAATCAGTAGTTGATAATTTCAATTAAAAAAATAGTTGACTCAGCTTAAGTGAGATCCTGTTTCTACTTGAACATTTGGTTTGCTCTCTGTTTTTCACATGATATGACAAAGGCATTGTTCAATTTTCTCCAGATTTGACATAATATTTCTTAAAGCATTTAAAACAACATGTTTTAATTAATTTTTATTACTTAAAGAGTATTATTTATTTATTTTTTATGTATTGGCTCGGATTGTGAAAATTTTATCAATTGTATAATGGATTTTATGATTATTTGGGAATATTGTTTGATATCTCAAGCATGAAACTTGTCAAATCCTAGCAATGTTTCAATATATATATTTGCAATTATATTACAGTATTACCCATAATCGATTTTAGTCATTTCGATTGAATATTCTTTTCTATACCACGATTTTTACCTTCGTGAAGACCAAATAATTGGTTTGGTGAACTGACTGGTAGGAAAAACCTTCCCCTCAAAATGCACAGTTCATGTAGTTGATATTACAAGAGGACAATTTAACAGCAGTGAAAGATGTTAATGAAAATTTATATTCGTTTACAGATTTGTGTCATGCCTGGAATAGACAGATGCAAAATAATTAGAAAATTTTACAGCTCTTGTATATTATTGAATTGTAATGAGGAAATCACGCCTTCATCTATTGAAGTTTGATGACTCCTAGACAAATTAATATTATGTCACATATTTCGAAAATATTAACGTTTATATGTTATTTTTGTTATACTGTTATTTTCCTAATTATCAATAATCAAATAATAATCCTAATAATCAAATTTTAAACAATAAATTTAATGTTTATATTAAATGTAATAATAATAATAATTACTATCTTACCACATTATTTCGGAAGTCCTTTTCCTTTCTTAACATATCAAAAATTGTACCAAGACATGAATGGTCATACTTAGTTGTATATTTATTCAAATAAATTTTAGAACTGCCCATTTGAAAAAACATACCAGCAGCAATCTGAATTAAAAAAAAAAAATCATTACTACTGTATTTTTGAACACAAGATAATATAGAATTATTTATCATTTTAACTAATAAATGATATTATAGAACCAAGTTCAACAGAATAAGATTAAAAATGAAAAAAAAAAGTTGCTATTTCAATGCCTATACCATTGCCGGTCTTGAAGAATAAGAATAAATAAGAACAAGAATTCTAACAGGCAACAAAGCTTACATTAGTCTCATAACATCTGTTTAAAGTTAAGGGTGAATTGTTATATTTGAATAAATATAGGTTTCATAATCAGAATACATTAAGCTCTCTGACAAACCTTTCAGCAGAAGAGGATATTATTCATTTAAAGCTGCATGTCCAATTCTGGTTGAATTCAGAATAAAATATTTTAATAAAACGGCATTAGGTTTATTAATTGTTAGAAAGTTATTTGAGAGGTTAAAAATTGGAACAAACTTGATATTTATCATAGAGTAGCCTAGCATTACAGGTATGATTTATAAATTAATTTAATTACTATTCATTTAATCATGTTTTATAACATCTCGGTACAATGTTCTTAAATCTTATTATTTATTATTTATAAGGTGTAATTTATTTTATTTTATTTGCCCAGAGAGCCAGTTTTTGAGGGATAGGAGAATTTTAAGTGTGAAAAAAAGAAATTTAGGAACAAGAAAAATAAATTTTAAAACACACTAATGATTTAATTCTCAAAAATATATGAAAAATTCTACAATTTAAATATCATAGAGTAATCTCTATATGGAAATAATCAAAAGGAAAAAAGAGTTTATAATATTAGGTTCAAAACCAAATACTTCAGAAATTTGAAGTTTAAATTTAAATTTGAAATTTAAAACTTGCTTGATAAAATACAGAAAAGATTAACAGCTTGTGTCTTAAAAAACACTATTCAAAGTCCCCTTTACAGGAATACAAGCTTGCGATGAAGAAGCTAGTTTCAGCAGTGTTGCTGGATATAGGTGGGCAGGAGTGCTGTGAACTGCCTTGGCAACAGGGCATTATCACCGTTGCCAATACTAATCTCCACTTTAATTCTTACCCATATTATTATTTATTAATATTTTTTATTATTACCCATTCGCTCTCTTAGTTCATAACTCTCTTTTGTCGAATTAATGATTAATTATCAAATATTCTGCTAATTAATGTATTTTTACTTTCACTTACATACTTATGAAATATATAGTAAAGGAAAGTATTGCAATTGTGAAAATTTTTGAATCTCAGTTTTCAACGGAAATACACATTTTGAGGTCCCCTGAGTCCAGTCCCACAAAAATAGTATGTATGTATGTGTTAACCCATTATTATTAATAGCTCAAAAACAAAAGTAGTATGAAAGTAAAATTGCATATTTAAGGTTTTTTTATGCTAGGGATGTTACAGCAACTTTTTAGTCAAAATCGGCTAACAGGAAGTGGTACTTTATATTATGGACATTTTTACAATTTCCTAGAAAATGGCACTAATGATTTTGTAAAATTAAGCAGTTCTAAATAAAATGTAGTTTTTATTCTGATTGATCTTTCTAATAGGGCTTAAGTGGCTAATTTTCAATATTTAAAGTACCTTTAATTTTTTTTTTTTTTTTGTTTAAACAATTTACCACTTCACACTAATCTCTAATATAAAAGATAGTTAAATATAAAATATGAAAGAATTTGATAATTAACTAAAGGAGAAATAAGAAATCGTAACAGAGAATAGTTGTAAGTGAGGAACCAAAGGAGTACAATCGCACCCGAAAGATTATAACAGGCTTCCATACGTAACATGAGCTTATGGATGATAAATATTCAGGACGCAGTCTTTTTTAAATTTTTTTATTTTTGCCAACGTTTCAACCCAAACATGTGGGTCATCTTCAGGGTGTGGTTTGAGCACTGAGGGTGTTCAAGTAGTACTTGAACACCCTCAGTGCTCAAACCACGGTTTTAAAGGTAGAAAGGGTTTTGGATTGACGGATGTTGGGAGGGATGGAGTTCCATAGGGATAAGGATCGGATAATGAAAGATCTGTCGAAAGCAGCAGTTCAGTGGGCCCTTATGTATAAATCAGAAGATCGGGAACGAGTATTGCGGGAACGAACAGAGGATTTGAATTGAAGGAGCTCGGAGATGTAAGGACGGTGGGATTGGATGACTTGAAAAAGGAAGAATGCCAGGAAATACTTACGACGGTAGGAAAGATAAAGCCACTTCAACTCTGCATAAAAACGAGAAACAGAGGATTCCCTTGGGATCCTGAAGATGAATCGTTTAAAGCAATTTATCAAACGTTTTAATTTTACCTCGAGATCCCCAGAGACGCCCCCATATACCGTACAGCAAAAGTCAAAGTGGGGAAAAATTAAGGAAGTTACTAGGAGCCTACAGATTTCAAAGGGATATAGGTGATGGGAGTAATTTAGACGTTTTAAGGTGGAAATGGTACGGCGGGAGATGTTGGATATATGATTTTTTCAGGAAAGCGTTTGATCAAAGATTATTTCAAGGTTTTTGATGGAAGGATAGAATTTGATTGGATTATCATGTAGGAACAGAGTTGAAATATTAGGAACAGTTTTAAGAAGGTGATTGGAGCCTATTAAGATTGCCTTCGTCTTTTCTGCATTCAAATTCAACTTGTTAGCTCTCACCTAGTCACAAATCCTATCCAAGTCTTCTTGAAGTTTTTCTGTGGCTTATAATAAGTCGGTGGGTGGGAAGGACAGATATATTTGGAAATCATCTGCATAGATATGGTATTGGGAGTGATGGATCAGGAGGATAAGGTCATTAATATAAATAGCAAACAGAGTAGGAGATAAAGAGGAATCTTGAGAGACACCACAGGAGAGGGGGAGGGTTTTAGACGGAGGTTGACCTGGGACAACTATGTATTGGGACCGATTTGAAAAGAAGGATTTGAACCAACACAGGGTACTGTTGGATAGAGGAAGGTTGTGTAATTTAGTGAGGAGGATGTTATGGTCAACTGTGTCAAACGCTTTGGAAAAATCTAGAAGGATGAGGATAGTAAGGTTTTGGTGTTCAATGGAGTTTTGGAGATCATTGGTTATTTTAAGGAGAGCAGCGTTGAGTAGCCAGGTCAAAAGCCAGATTGGAATGGATTGATAAGGGAACGTTCCTCTAGGAAGTTGGAGAGTTGATTTTGTTCAAGGGATTTTAACGGCTTTGACAGGTTGGAAAAGTGAGAAATAGGTCGGAAGTCGTGCAGTGAGGTAGGGTTGGAAATTTTATTTAAAGGTCGGACTAGGGCAGTTTTCCAGGAGGATGGGAATATGTAGTTTTGCAATGAAAAGTTGAAGATATGGTAAAGAACAGGAAGGCTGAATTTTATTGGTTTCACTGGAATATTATCAGGACCTTTATTTTAGGATAGTGGAAAGTAATTTATCATAGGACACATGGGAGAAAAAGAAGTATTCTGGATTGAAATTATGATGTTTGAATTTGAAAGTAGGAAAAAAATTGTGAATGAAGGATAAGGAACGGTCATTGAAATCATCTGGAGTTACCAGGATGGAACTGAGTTTATTGGATTCTGGTAGGGATAGGTTACGGAGTATTTTCCATTTGGATTTGGAATCGGAAGCATTGGAAAGGGCATTGTGAAAGTAGGTGGCTTCAGCAAGTCGGATTGTGGATTGGGTTCCATTGCGAAGTTCCTTGAAAAAAGCATAATCAGCAGGCAAACGGGTTCGACAGTATTTGTGTCTTAATGCATTCCTTCTTTTCATCATTTCCTTTATTTCAGGAGTCAGCCAAGGTTCAGTAGGACGACGTAAGGTTCAGGCTTTCAGAGGAGCATGGGTGTCTAATAAGGTCTATAATTTTTACTTTCCCTTCCCCTTTGTCTGAAAACACTTATTTCTGCTAAAAAGAGGGTTGTAAATGAAAGTTGTGTGATGCACGCACTGCACCAGATATTTTTTGTTTTGAATGGTCTTGATAAAGATTTTTTTCTTGAAGGATTTTGTTATTTTTATTTTTTTTTTTTTGGCTTTTATTCAATGTTATAAAGCATGTCAAAATCAAAGTAAGCATAAGCATATTTAAGTCAATATACACTGACAGGCAAAAAATTCCACCCACTTGATTTTTTCATCTAAAAATATTTCACTCACTTGTAAAAAAAAGTTGTATTTGTATATAATACATGATATTTGTAGATAATACTTAGTATTTATGGAATTTTATAATCTTTTTACCTTTAATAATCAAAATGTGATTGGGTAAGAAAGATAAGAGAAAAAAAAATTAAAAAAAGAACCATTATTATTCTAAAAGAAATTAATTACATCATCGTTTAGTAGCGCGTGTTTCCTCCTCTTCCCTTCACTACTTCTTGAAGACGCCTCGGCATACTTTCCACCAGTCGGGAAATGTCCCTTTGCTGGAGGATAGCTCATTCCTCCCGAAGAGCCCTTTCAAGGTCCTGCAGTGTATCAGAAAGTGTTGCAAGCGCTCTTATTCGTCTTCCGAGGTTATCCCATAAATGCTCAATGGGGTTCAAATCTGGAGAACGTGCTGGCCAGGCTAAAACCTCAATATTGCTCTGTTGAAGGAACATGTGCTCTTTGCGGACGACATGTGGGCCTGCATTACCATGCATTAGAATAGAGCGATCGCCGATTTCGTTAAGGATAGGCAACACATGAGGTTCCAAAATCTCATCGACATAGCGAATGGCCGTCAAAGACCCTCCACGAACAACAACCAATTCTGTGCGGAGCTCCATTGAAATCCCAGCCCACACCATTAAGGAACCATGTTGGAAAGGTTGGCTCTGGGGAAAATTACAGGCTGCATATCTTTTGTTTCTTCTTCTCCACACCCTTTCACGCCCAACTGGTGATCGAAGAGCGAATCTTGACTCATCTGTAAAAAGTACAGCACTCCATTCCTCCATAGTCCAATGGCTGTGTTTTCGAGCAAAAGCCAGCCGTGTTACTCTGTGAGTTCTGGTC